ACAAACTACACAGGAATTAAAGTTCAAAGTAATTCAGATAGCCCATTTGCAATACAGCTATATGCCTTTTGGGAATTCAGATTTTTTCCTTTTAATTCCAAGGTTTGGGGGTTTTGTTGGGGCTTTGTTTGGTCGTGGTTTTGTTTTAGAAAGGGCACTTGATAATGGCACTTTTCAGAAGCTTCACTGTTAAGTCAAAATTGAATTCCAGTCCAAACAGTAGATTAAACTGCACATCTGCTCAATTTTAATAAAGAATCTTTCATTTAATGCAAAGCCATTGCTGTAAAATGTTTTGTGTGAATATATTATTGCTATTTACTCCAAGAGATATCACTATGAATTAATGATACGGCTCCAAACACTCAGCTCTTGCATCGCAGGTAGGCTTTTAGGAACCTGCCTGCAGATAAAGTTGGGACATACTTTACGGAAGAATTTTCAAAAACTTTCAATACTAGCTTAATTCTGCTTAGAGAAGCCTAAGGTCATTTTCAATCAGTTTTGGTCACAGGAAAAAGCAGAATCTTTCAGTACATTAGAACATCCCCAGACTTTAGGCCATAGCATCTGAATTTCTTGTTTAATGCACACATATTTCATATCCCTGTTTCTAACCAAGTCTTACATGAGTTTTATTCTCTCTTTTAAACTATTACTTTAGGCCTGAGCTGTAACATTCCAAAATCAGCCATGAGTTTCCCTTTCCAGCACTAGAAAGCTCTGTGCAGGATCCAGAAGGGAAACAGGAACTAAAAGGTGATTTTAAAAATCTGGAGATCCAACAGACCTGTGACAGTAAGTTCGAAGTGCCTTTATTTGACTGACCATCACAGTGGAAAGATTAACTATTAAATTCTGTATATTGAAGGCTAGGAAAACTCTTGAAAAATTCCATCCAGTGGTCAGAACTTGTCTGTTCCAAAAGACTAAATCTGATCAAGACAGAGGACTCATCCTCCAAATCAACTGTCCCTATGAGCAACATAGCTTACCTTCCCATTTGCACCTCCTCTGCTTCTTTCTCTCCCAGGAATTAAATAAGACAGGAGTACATTATTAGGTATACACAGCTTTCTTTGACTTTGGAAAAGAAATCCACTGCTTTCCAAAAGGCCCAGAGGCCTCAGAGATTCAAGGTCACACATACAGGTCTGCTGCATTCAGCTGCACCTCACATCTTAGCTCACTTAGACCTAACAAGATAAATCACACAAGTAAGTGAATCCTATAGAGGTGTCTCAAGGGGCCCTTCCAAAGTCGACAGCCTACTCACACACAGGGACTTGGTACTCAGACTTTGAGCTTCAAAAAGATGGAGCTGCCACTACATTTGTCACCTGCTGGTTTTGCAGACTAGGGAAGAACATACATGCTAAAAGTCTCCTTTGCACCAGGATAGTTTCTTTCTAAATGCCTTTGTACTAAATGACTTTGTTACAGGGAACCTTTCTGAGAAACAAGTCATTAGCAGTCTCAAGCGTGGAGGCAGCCTAGGTGCCCAAGTTATGTCCAGCAGTAAAGATGATGCAGCATTAAACATTCTAACAGCACTAATGCTAACAGCATTAAACATTTAGGGACACAAGTCACTAAGGAAACAGACCATTTTTAAGACACTAATGTTATGGAGACAAATGTAGTGTTGCACTCAAGTATAAACAGGTAACGCCTTATCCAAGGCACTTTGAAAACAGACCAAAGTATATTTATTAGACTAATTAGGAAGAAGAAGTGCTTAAAAGAACACTTTTCTCTTTAAAGTACAAGCACACAGGGTGGAGGGAGGTTGGAAGAGCAGATGACCTCACTGCTTCCTTCCAACCTTACCCATTCTGTGGTTCTGTGGCTACAAAGGCAAATTCTCTGCCATACAACTTTATTCCCAAATCAGTACTTTTCAAACTTACACACAAGTTAGAATCAAATGTAATTCAAGGCTTGGGGCCGAAGTGAAAATTAAACTATTTATTATTTCATATGCAAAAGTACCTGCTTTTGACTGTCAACTTTTTTTCTTTTTAGAGGAAAAATGAATACTTATGAAGTTACAGACTATAAAAATATTTATCTAAAAGACAGTTGTTTTTTACAAAAGTTAAGCAACCAACATCTTGGAAATCATAGTTAAAATTATTAATTGTGACAAAAGATGTTCATTGCTGTACTTCAGTATTAATAAAGGGATTAATTTTACTCTTTTGCCCCAAACCACAGATTAATGATGATGAGTAGAGGCCACTGTGAGAAAAGCTGGGAATCCTGCCAGTTCCTGTTTCATTTGGACCAATCAAAAGGTTAAGCACAGCCTAAGCTCCAAAGCCAACAAAGAGGCATTGCAATTTTGCAGTATTGCAGACAGGAGATAACCAGGATGCCATAAAAATTGCAACCCTCTAAAGCAGCTGGTTACATACAGAATTGCAGCACAAACTTTTTCCAGAGCTATCTATTGACACCTGGGAATACCACATGGCCAGGTAGTCCAGTGCAGACACAACTCATAGGCCTCACATATGAGTACACATTCTCAGCATCTCCATTTCTGTATATCCCCTGTCTGCAGTTAATAAAAGGAAGCAATGACTGCACGATGGCCTTTTACTCAGACTAAATTCCTCTATCACCAGGTCTTGCTTTCCAGTTTTCAAAAAAACTTTTCTTCTCCAGCATTGCCATATATTAAATCCATGAAGTTTCAACTTATTAGTATGATTTGCTGATACACTTAGACCGTGATGATGAGAATCCCACACAGAACAGTTCCAAGAAAACCCCATTGTCACCAGCAAATGAACTGAAGACCACAGCATATTAAGGTCTTTCTCAGCACAAAGCTTTTGACAAGAAATCTAAGTTATCGTGATCCTTTGTCCCTCAAGGTAACAGTTCAGTAATATCATATATGGATAACACCTACATTGGCAAAAAGAAAACATTTTCTGAGACACTTTGATAAAATAATTCCATCATAAAGTGTTTATAGATACATGTGTCTCCTATCCCTCTATCTGAGCTCAAAAAGACAGTAAGGAGGGAACACAATTATGTAACCAAAACTGTTCTAATTGTGTCTTCTTTCTATATACTAAAAGAGTTACAAACAACAGTGTTAGGCCATCCCAGATTTAATGGGTTCCTTGGGACCATATCATTAAGTAAAATGAAAAATTCAAATAAGTTTTTTTTTTCAATGTATTTGACACCCCTTTTGGGAAGTGAACAAAGACACACTGTCAAAAGAAGAAATTTGCACAAAATGTTACCATTTGTTTCCCATGAATACTGAGGTATACTTATCCAATGAAAGGAATTCCACTGCTCTCCTGAGATTTCCTCTCCTAAGTTGAATTTGGTGCCAAGTTCACTCAGCTAGAGTTTGGGTTGTGTTAGTGTGCCAGATACAAGTTACTCTATGTCAGCTCTGTTACCTAGTCAAAAATGAAGTGTCAAGTATATGGTAAATGCAAACTTAGATAAATTAAAAAATGACCATTAACAGACCATCACTGTTCCTTACTTTGAACAGTTCAAGCACTGTTTTTAACTGAAAATAATTGGTACATATATTTGCATATTATGTAGCCTATTTGTGTGTAACTTCTCCTCCAGCTATGTTTTTGGCCATGTTATGGGATCACATACTTCTAAATTGTTCAAGCAGTAACTGCAGTGTGACCTATGAAGTGTCTTAAGATCCTTTAGAAGCTTCAGCTTTTTGTAAAGTAATTCTCAGGTGACAAACTTTTTTATATGAAAACCATCAATGTAAGACAAGTAAGATACTTTTTATTAAATCCATGCATACATTTCATTTTTTCTCTTTTTATCCAAAAATAAAATGGAAAACTTCTTACTAAAACTTAAATGAATAGAAAAGCCTCCAAACAGCTTTTACATAAGAGTGTTGATCTGTTTCATGTGGGGCTTTCTCCATGAAAATATAACGCATAACTGTTGCTTTACATTAAATATAACACTTTTTCTAAATATGACACTGGGTTTTCAATGTCTTTTTTAAATAAACTGATGTCAGGGATATAGCAAAGCCTGTGAAGTGAACTGTGCAGAACTAGGGCATGCAGTATGTAAGTACACAGTAACTGTGGTAAGCCAAAGCATCGCAGCGTAACTTATCAGACGGACTGGGTATATACAGGGTGCCATCTAATGCCAGACAACTGCTTAGGAAAACCTCAGCAAAGGGCAAAAAACCTTTTGCTCTTCCAAGATTTTCTACCTTTTGTTGAAGTAAAGAATAAAAATAGAAGAGAGAAGACAAACTTTCTTTTGTTCGTGTCAAACTCAGTTAATGCTTCACAATCAAACAAAAAAAAAAAACCAACCCATTGTTTCAAGCTGTCAAACAACAATCAAAATCCAAAGAAACTGTAAGCCATAAGTACCTTTAATAGAACTGTTACAGAATTATATGACCAATTAAAGCCTACTGGTGAGTATGCTTACTGTCCTATGAAATAGGCACATCACCAAGAAAAACAAAGCATTGTATTAAACATCAACCTATTTTGTTTACACAAGGTGAAACCAACAGTCAATGAGACATGAATGAATCGTTGGTAAAGTTTATTTTTAAACTCTAACTTGACACCGAATATACTTTGCAATAGAAATTCTTAAGTTAATTTATTAAATATGAAACAATCAAACAGGTAAATCCAAGCCAGAACAACCATCACTCTTGCTTTAAAACATTTAATACCTTCATGACAGAAAACTGATAAAAAGTACTAGATAAGCAATTAAACCCCATGTATACCAAAGTACCATACGAAATCACAGATACTATTTTGAAATTTGTAAAAGCAGCACAATAATGGAGATTACTCTTTGTACTTCATATATAGAATGCACCAGAACTATTAGCAAGCCGAAGCTGTTCTGTGAACTGTGAACATTTATTCTGTTTACTGTGAACATTAATTAGAAACTCAAGAAGGCAAGTCATAAGGGCAGGAAGAAAGTGTAGTATGACTTACCAGACAGACGAGTTTAGCTGTGTCTCAAATGCAGCAGAAGTAAGAAACTTCAGTATATGTAGACCTTATTTATTTAGCCCTTTATGAAGGTTTCTCTCAAGAAATTAATCTAACTCACATGCAAGAGTCTGCAAAAGAAAAAGAGAAAGAGTCTAAGCTGCTGACTGAAGCTTTTTTCTAAGAACATTTGAGCTATTTTCAGCAGCAATGGGCTTGCCTACTATCAAAATGAAAATGTAATATAGAAGAAGCAGCTGCCCAACCCAAGCTAAAAAAAAAAAAAACAAACAAACAAGAAATCCATAGCAAAAAAACCTTTGCTCACTGTCCAAATTTTTCTTTAAAGAAACAGAAGGAGCAGGGAACAACCAGTGCTGATGAAAAAAAACCAAACCAAACTACTGTTAAAAGGAAAACAGGGACCTTGAAAATTTTAACTTTTAGCTCAGAAAATGAATCACCATGAATATTTTTTAATGTGAAAAACACCTTTGGAGTTTGGCTGTCTCTGAAGATGTTTTGCCTTCTCTACATAAGGTTTCATCTGAGATGGAAATACGTCTATTTGCATTTAAGCCCATCATATCTGACTGGTATACACATCCAAGGACAGGACAAATCAGTATAGCAAAACTGAAGCCAGTAGCTAGTTTCTAGTTTGCATCTTAAGTTTCCAGTTTCAGCAATAGCACTATTTTGGAAGCATAGTGTCCTGAAGCTGCTGGCACTCCATTTTTCCTATCAGGGCATTCAGTGACATGATACATATCTCCCTGTCCTCCTCTGTCACATCACCAACCAACCAACTCAGCCTCCCATAAAGCAAAAATACTGGGAAACAGAAAATATCAATACAAATGGATGACTCTAGGAAAAATCTTGATGAGTACATAAAAGCTAACTACTTTGAAGTCTAAGACAACACAGACAAACTGTGAGTCAGTGAAAAATCATCACTGTTATTTTATTTTTTGCAGATTCTTCTGGTGGAGCAGAAAGCTTCCAACATATTCCTCTCTATAACTTCCCTCTATGTATCTCAGCAATTCTTGGGTTTTGCTTCCTCAGAAAAACTACTCATATATCATCACTCTGTTAGGTACTGCCACTGAAAATTCTTGTTACTTTTGTTCAAAGAAAAGTTATGAGACTTAAAATTATTCTCACCTCAAAACCTAAAACAGGCTGATGTGGTAAGATTACAAAATGTTTCAGTATCTGCTAAATTTCCAATCACCTTACTTAGGCACACTTATCTGAAAACTTTTTAGAACACCATGAGACACCTTAATTTCTGATTTACTTGTGAACAGTAGCTGCTTGGAAGCGACACTGACACATGAAACAGGATGCCAGACACAAGGTGTTTAGTAAACTATTACAAGAATACAGCAATACTCATTGTTACAGACGAACATGAAAAACATATTTGTTCCTTGTATGAAAAGCATTAGTTGTGGAACACATAACAATAAAAGAAGTTGCTAAGTATAAAAATATAGCACAAATTCTTTCTGTTAGGTAAAAAGCATCCTTTCCACTTGATCTCAGCTATTTTTAGTATTACTGCAGTGAAAAGCAGGTACAACAAAACCCACAAACTCTAACCTGTTAAATTAATAATTATTGCTATTTCATTCCTGATGTCTATTTTAAGACCACCCTTTCATGACAAAACTAGTTCACTGAAGATAAAAAGCTCAGTTTATATTTGAGATTCATGAACAAAGATATTCAAGGACTCCAGCAGCTTAAACTTCAGATAATGTGTGAGTTATAGGCAGCTTGAGAGCTGTCATGGTCAGGCGGGACATGCAGTATAGTTTGCAAATAACCAGTATCTACCAGACCCCTAGTGTCAGAATCTACATTACCTTGCCATCCATAATGCTTTCATCTGGTAGTTACAAGCTAAATCAATAAATATTCACATGCTGAACACTAATTCACAAATACAAAACTAGAAGTAGCTGTTAAAGTCATTATTAGCACTACCAATCTACCAGTGACATAACACACAATGCTTCGCAGGTCAGCATTTCTTTGCAGAGGCACTTTCTCAGAAAACACATTTGCCATCAGCTGTGTCACCATCAGCACTTAATCCATTTGGGCACCTTGTTTCTTCATGCACTCCCTGAAACTGCATTTGTGCAAATAAATGACAGTTTACCTGTTAGTATCTACAGCATTTACTGAACATGACATAAGCACTGTTTAGTATACACCAGGGTGTTTTAGCTACTGGACACAAATCACATCATCTTTATCAGCCAGAAATGTGAGATACCAGAAATATCACATAAAGCCTCTAGGTCTCAAAGATAAATGTATGTGCATGTTTATTAGTAAAACAGACAAATGTGTCTCTACTACTAAAACTGTCACATTACGCCTTTCAGGGACCGACAATAATCTCTTTCATTGTACGGCCATCAGCAATACTAAAATTCAGAATATAATTTCTGCAGTGACCCACTGCAGTGGGAAATAATCAACTACTAGTATTAAAGCAGTCAAACATGAACAAGAAGTGTACAGGTTACACTGTAACCAAGCTAACATCAGTACTTGGTGCAAGTCTCCAGGAGCTCTATGGCCAGACATTATGGCACAGAGATTTTCATAAAGCAGAAGAAAGAACCTTGAGAGTTAAGAGATACACAAGGTTGTTCAAAATACTGAGACACAAAAGTTGCACACCTGCTTCACTGCACATATTAATATAAATCTTGATTTTTCTAAGCCTAACCCTTCAAACATAGTTGAGTCATGGTTGAAGCTTCACATAGAAAGGCTGAAGAGCAATCCTGCTTTTGAGAAGGATTCCTGTACATTTCAAGATATGCATATGCACACTGCACAGCCAGGTAATGACTGCTTTTTCCTTGTATTATTTTATACATTATTCTATTAATATATTTTACTATTAGTGCAATACCTTCAAGTAGTATGATACTATGTCTAAATGAATTGTCTGTTACCTGTCTCAGGAAGAAATAAGGAGTATGGATAAGATTTCTTTCATTAGTTCAATTTTTTTTTTTTTCAAATAACCATGTTTCTTGTATTTCATCTGAACTATGACAGATAATATCAAATGAATTTAATATTAGAGAATGGAAGCCAAATGCACATAGTCTGCATTTTCAGAAGTTCCCTTTGAGAGAGATAATTCATAGAACTGATCATCTCAATCTCTGAAATGAGCATTTCCCAAATTACAGGAAAAAACATCTACAGAAGGAAAGCTGTGGACCATATGCTTTGTCCTGGACTTCAGCTGGTCTTAAAAGTGTTTTAGACATATAAGAACTTCAAAGATCTTAGAAATAAGACACTTTTTTAATGTCACATGTGCTTTCAGTAGCCTCCACCATTGAAAAGCAACGAAGCTATTAAGTGTGGCCACGTTCCTGGACAGGGTGGATTACCTTGTTACACGTAGGTCAAATACAAAATTACTGGGGGTTGATCCCACATAATGTAACATAAGTAAAAAATGCATGAACATATGTTTACTGAACTTAGTGCCAGGGATGCCCATACTCAAACACAGAAGCAGCCCCCTGAACTTGTCACAGGAGTGTTTACTGATAACTCGTGCATTTGAAAGGCATGTATCAAGACAATAAGTACAAAGAATCACAGTCTCATATTATTACCATGAATTGGCCTGCAAATGGCATATGCTTGAAGAAGAGTTGACTATGCTGTTCTCCAGAAGAGCAGGTCTACATTCTCTTTAAAAGACACCATCTTTAGCTACACCAAGTTCTCCTTCTTGACTTTACATTTATGTTAGACTGAAAACCCTAGACATTTTGTTGTAAAACATTTGGCAGTTATAATAAGCAGCTATATTTTTTAATATTTTAATAACAGTATTATATCATCTAGAATCTGTAAAAAATTACCATAACTTTAAATCAGCAACAAATAACTACATTAAAATGTAAGGATACAACCTTGAAGTGAAATCACAGGCATTTAAACCCCACCAACTACTGAAAGCATATTATCTAACTATTTAGATCCTCTTAGTCAACAGTTGCAACAAATTCCAGTACTTTAGCCAATTCTGTATAACTGGGCACCAACTATATAACTGCTTTCATAATGGTGTGAAAAATGACTACAGTCAGTGCAGCTATCACTCTGAAACTTGACCAACAGGATAACATGTCTGCATACTTTACTAGTAAAACTTCCTTTGTTCCAAGAGTAAACAGTTAAAAATGAACAGGGAAATAAATATGAAAAGGCCTTTTCAGGAAATGGGGAACAGAAGCTTATTGTTAATCTCACTCTTAATATACATTGTGAGGCCATTCTTTCAAGAACTGGGTACAAAGTTATTTGTCCTTCAGGCCCATTTTTTGCAAGAGCATGTTTGACTACTGTGTAAGATTGCAGTAGTTATTTGGGAGGGTGCTGAGGGCATTAGGGAGTGGAGTTTTCCTAAAGACCTAAACCTCAGAAATGTAAACAAGCTAGGACTCTCAACCTGTGACTTACCAGTGCAAGTAATAAAGTTCATTTGAGCCCAAATGAAAAGTGACAATTTCTAAAATACCCATTTTATATATACCCAAATTTCGAAGGATCTGTATGTCTTTTAACAGTGAAGTTCCCACTCACCTAAAATTCTCCTGAATCAAGCAAGCAATGTCTTGCCTTAATGAAACTACTTTGGCGACAGCTGTCCTGTACAAACTTGGGTTTTATCCATCTTAAATCTGAGGCACAAATATACAAAATATGTTCTCAGATATTTTTCACTCTTTATCAAAACCATAGAAGATGATGTTACCCCACCATGGGTTATTTTTAAGAACACTGTATTGATGGATGTTAAAACATCTGCCACGGATATGGAAAACCTGGATTAAACTTCCAGAAGGATTTACAGTCACATCTCCCACTTCCGTGACACAATGCTAAGCGTCACGCCATTGTCTGGGCTTTTGAGGACACTAGACCTCTTTCACAGAGTAATCACATACTTCATGTGGCTCACAGAGAAAAAATTGGACTCTCTCTTATCAGCTCCTAGGAGAAAGGAAAGTTTGAGCAACTGCCTCCAGTTACTCTAAAATATTTCCACCTGAACAATATACTCAGAAAT